GGTTGGGATTGGGGGTGATGTTTGGGAGGCCTTATATAGGAGTTCGATGCTAATTAAGTGCTAATTATGGAAATGAATCATTAATTAGGGGGCTGAGGGAGCTCAAGAGAGTGGGTGTGGCTTCCTTATGCAAATGGTATGCTAATGAGGGGTGGAGTTGGGAGGGTGTTTGGAGGGTGTTTTATGGGAATTAGATGGTAATTAGGTGCTTATTATGGAAATGAATCATTAATTAGGGGGCTAAGGGAGCTTAGGTGAGTGGGTGTGGCTTTCTCATGCAAATGAGATGCTAATGAGGGGTGGGGTTGGGAGGGTTATTTGGGGGTCTGACGGAAATATCAGAAGTCTGTGGATGGGTTTGGGTGAATTTGGGGCCATTTTGGGTCATTTTTGGGCGAGCAATAAGGGTTTTTTGGGGTCTGGAGTGGGTGTGGCCTCCTTATGCAAATGAGATGCTAATGAGGGGGTTATCAATCAAGCTAGGCACTAATTGGAGAGTTTGAGAGAAATATCAAAGGTCTTGGGGTGGATTTGGGTGAATTTGGGGCCATTTTGGATCCTTTCTGGGCGAGCAACGTGAGGTTTCTGCGGACTGGAGTGGGCGTCACTTCTGTATGCAAATGAGATGCTAATTAGGGCCATAAAATGCAAATCAGGCTGTAATTGGAAGGTCTGACTGAGATATCAAAGGTCAGGAGGTGAGTTTGGCTGAACTTGGGACCATTTTGGGGCCATTTTGGGCAAGCAATGTGGGTGTGGCTTCCGTATGCAAATGAGATGTTAATGAGGGGGGGTTATCAACCAAATTAGGCACTAATTGGAGAGTCTGAGGAAAATATCAAAGCTCTTTTGGTGGATTTGGGTGAATTTGGGGCTATTTTGGGCGGGCAACGTGGGGTTTCGGGGGTCTGGAGTGGGCGTGACTTCTGTATGCAAATGAGATGCTAATTAGGGCCATAAAATGCAAATCAGTCTGTAATTGGATGGTCTGACTGAGATATCAAAGATCTGGAGGTGGATTTGGGTGAACTTGGGGCCATTTTGGGTCCATTTTGGGCGAGCAACGTGGGGTTTCTGGGCGTGTCTTCCCTATGCAAATGAGATGCTAATGAGGGGGCGTGGTGGGCGTGTCCAGGAAGGCCCAGGAGAGTCAGAAGGAGATGAAGCTGTTGCTGGACATGTACAAATCAGCCCCCAAGGAGCAGCGGGACAAAGTGCAGCTCATGGCGGCCGAGAGGAAGAGCAAGGCCGAGGTAATTCGTCACTAATTAGCTGCTAATTAATGGCAATGATATGCTAATGAGATGGTAATTAGGTGGCCATTAGAGGGTAATTGGATCCCTCTTTGGTGGAGTGAATTTGGTGGTGAATGATGAGTTGGTGGGGGGTTGGGTAAAGGTCGGTAATTAATGGTGATTAATGGGGTTAGTATTAATTAACTGATTCATTAGATAATTAATTAAAGATTTTTAATGGTGTTAATTGAAGAGTGTTATTAATGGTGTTAGTTGACGGATTAATTAATTAGTTATCTGTTTTAATGCTGTTCCTTAGGTAGTTAATGGTGTTAATTAGCTGGCTAATTAATTTATGGCTTTTAATGGTGTTAAGTAATTAAAGGCTAATAATGGTATTAAGTAATTAATGTTCAGTTAACGTTAATTAACATAATTGACGCCCCTAATTAACCTCAATTGACTAACTCCCCAGCAAAAGGAGGAGTGCTCTTAACTCCATAATTATCGCTAATTATCCTAATTAGCCTAATTAACTCTAATTAACCCAAATTAAGGCTAATTAAGGCATTAATTAATTACTTAGAGGAGCTGAGGTCGGGGAGAGTCCTTAATAACTCCCTAATAACCTCTAAATTAACACTAATAACTCCCAAATTTACACTAATAAAGGCTAATTAAGACATTAATTAATTAGTTGGAGGAGCTGAGGACCCGCTGGCGGGAGCTGGAGGAGCGGGAGCGTCGGGAGAGCAAGAAGTTGGTGGATGAGGAGACACTAATTACCCTTAATAATCCCTAATAACTGCCTAATAAAGCCTAATAAATGCTAATTAATGCTAATTAAGACATTAATTAATCAGCTGGAGGAGCTGAGGGCCCGCTGGCGGGAGCTGGAGGAGCGGAAGAGCAAGAAGTTGGCGGATGAGGAGACGCCAATAACTCCCTAATAACCTCAAAATTAGGACTAATAACTCCTAATAAATGCTAATTAATGCTAATTAAGACATTAATTAATCAGTTGGAGGAGCTGAGGGCCCGCTGGCGGGGGCTGGAGGAGCGGGAGCGTCGGGAGAGCAAGAAGTCGGCGGATGAGGAGCTGCTAATTACCCCTAATAACCCCAAAATTAGGACTAATAGCTCCTAGTAAAGGCTCATTAATGCTAATTAAGACATTAATTAATTAGCTGGAGGAGCTGAGGGCCCGCTGGCGGGAGCTGGAGGAGCGGGAGCGTCGGGAGAGCAAGAAGTTGGCGGATCAGGAGACACTAATTACCCTTAATAATCCCTAATAACTGCCTAATAACCCCTAATAAAGGCTAATTAATGGTAATTAAGACATTAATTAATCAGCTGGAGGAGCTGAGGGCCCGCTGGCGGGAGCTGGAGGAGCGGGAGCGTCGGGAGAGCAAGAAGTTGGCGGATGAGGAGGCCCTGAGGCGGCTCCGGCACAGCGAGGAGCAGATCGAGCACCTGCAGCGCCGATTGGCGGCCACCAAACAGGTCACTAATTAAC